TTTAAAAAAAATGCATTTCTGGGGTCTGGAGAGATGGCTCAGTGGTTAAGAACACTGGTTGTTCTTGCAGAAGACCTGGGTTCGAATCCCAGCACCCACATGGGAGCTAACAACTGTCAGTAACTCCAATCCCAGGGGATCCCACAGCCTCTTCTGACCTCTGGCACTGCACAACATGGGTGCACTTACTTACATGCAGGCAAAACACACATATACATAAAATAAAAATAATAACTAAATTTTTTAAATGCATTTCTTTTTTAAAAAGGCAGAGCCTTCAAGTTAATGCACAAAGGGACTGTGTGACAAAATAATTCGAAAGGTGAAAATTGCCAAATAATTACACCCTCATAATTGCCTTCAGTATCCATTCAAACCCTTCCCATATTTGCATCCATATAAACAAAGAAATAAAAAAATTTAACATTTGAGGGATGGCGAGATGATTCAATGAGTAAAGTGCTTGTCATGCAAGTATGAAAACCAGGATTCAAATTTCCAGCACCTAATTAAGAAAATGCCTGATGCTGATTTAACTAAGTGCAACTATAATCCCAGCATTGGGGAGGAAAAGAGGAGAGGATTCCTGGTGCTTTCTGACCTGCCAGTTTAACCAATCAATGAGCTCCAGGTCTAGCAAGAGGCTGTCTCAAAAACTGAGATAGTGACTGAGGAAGACTCAAGATGTTGTTGTGTTGTTGTGATGTTGTTGTGTTGACCTTGTTCCTCCACTTGCATGCACACACACATGAACATGCACATATGCATGCACACACACACACATACACACAAACACACAAAGGTAACATTTGGTTTTTCAATTGTTTGGTGGCAAAATATACAGAAAAAAACAGCAATGCAGGTATTTTTGCCTTAACATGTCATTTTTTTTACTTTTTAGTTGAAAGAAAACTGCATTTTTATGTAGTGCATGATACTTGAAATATATATTATATATATACATATATATACATATGTATTGTGAAAAGGATCAATCTTAGAATTAAAAAGCACATTACCTCATGTAACTATCATTTTATTGGCAAGAATACTTAATGTCTACCATCTGAACTTATGAGAGTACAATATATTACCATTAGCTATAGACAACATGCTGTGATCTTTGATTCTTGAATTTATAGATGTACAGATTGTAGATCTCTTGGATTTTTTTCTCTCAACTGTGACCATATGTCTTTTCAAAAAATATTTTATTGATTCTTCAAGAATTCCATACAATGTATTTTGATCACATTCAGACCCACTCCCTCATCTCCACTCTCAACCTAGTACCCCACCCTTCAATTTTATGTCCTCTGATTTTTCATCACTAGAAGTCCAATGTGCTATCTACTGCACCACAGAGCCATCTATGTCCTCTGTGTTTTTGATTGACATCACTCCCTCTGTCCTAACCACTCTGGTCTCTGGTAACTATTGTTCTGTTGTCAACCTCTCTCAGGATTTTAAACCCTCTTCTCTTCCACAAATTGAACACAGATATAATGATCTAGATCAAGCATCATGATGATAAAAGTCTTAAATACCAACCTTGAAACATTGGCAGAATCTTCCAGACTGAAACTGGGCCTAAGCTAGCAAATTGACCAAGTGAACATTCCAAGAAAAACAAAGGTAAACCAGCCAATGCTAGCATAATTGCATAGGGTATCAAGAAAGCACCTAGAAAATACAAAAAGATACCAAAATACTTTTACATTACAAAGCCTTGAGGGCACTTTGACAAGCAACCTAACACTTTAAAGATTTCCCAACACAGTGGAATTGAAGTGATCTGATTTGAGGTCCAAAATATTTTCTGTGGATTATACTTGATTATATTAACTTTGGATTTCTAATTCATCAAATGAGCACGCTAGTGTTACCAAAAGAAGTTGATGTAATTATTAAAAAACACTAGACTAGGCCGGGCATGGCGGCACATGCCTTTAATCCCAGCACTCAGGAGGCAGAGGCAAGCGGATCTCTGTGAGTTTGAGGCCAGCCTGGTCTCCAAAGCGAATTCAGGCCAGCTAGGGCTACAGGGAGACCCTGCCTCAAAAAGACCAAAAAAAAAAAAAAAAAAACCCCAAAACCAAAAAGAATAAAAACCATTAGACTATAAAGAGTAAGCCAGTGGAGTTAAGTTATCACAGCCTGTAGAGTCAGACTGATCTACATTAAAATTCTGGCTTCATCATATACCAGTTATGTGACCTAGGGCAATTAAGTCGCCCATTGAACCTTTCATCATCATAAAAGGGGAAGGCAATGCAAACTAATCATTTTCTATTAGGAGTTCAAATACTGGACCTGTGGCATTTACTAATTAAATTTATTAATTTACTAATCAAACAATAGCAACACTGCAGGCTCATAACATGTATTCACTGTTAATTTCCCTCTCTTAATTTCTGATTTAACAACAAATGGAATATTTTTAAGACTGTGAAAATGCTAAAAATGGTTCAGAATGAAAATTATTGCAACTAATTTAATAATGCTCCAAATACTGATGACACTTTTTAGCCAACGACACTAAGAAAATTAATGTCTTCTCCTACTTAACTTCCAATGTTCGAGAAACTAATCTCCCACATAAGAATATCCAGTCCCTCCCAGTTTTTAAATCTTTTATTTTACTTGTTGTGTCCACATTTCAGGCATAATATTGCTCATTAGAATGTTTGCCAGGAACAAACATGAAACAGGGACATAATGTTAAATTTATTAATCAAACAATCTAGAAGTCTTGGGACAATGTTTAATAAAAGTAAGGTGGGATTCAATGTATGGAAACAGGCTTTTGGATTATGTAAACTTCCTTTATTCTTATCGTTTCCCTGGATTATTTTTCCCATTATGATAGTGAAACATCATACCTAGGAATTATGTTTTCTAGCTCTTAAAATAGATTCTGCTGAAACTGAGACGTCTTTGTTCACACTGGTACTTAAGTGTCTTTATTGTAATGTTATCCTTGGAAGTCACTAGACTATAGGGAAAAATATGTTTGTAGAGCTGTTGCAGTGTGCATATCATAATTGTTAAGACTAATAGAAATTTATATTCAACCAACAATAAATACACCTAGTGTGAACAGGTATTTTGAAAACTTTGGCTATTTACTACTGCATTATTTATAGCTGTTACCCATCATTGATTGTTAATAATTGCCACATTTAATAAATTTCTAATTTAATATAGTGACCACAAAGATTTAATATGGTGTTACACTTCTCTTTCATAAACTCCTAGAGATATCTAAAAATTCAAAGCTAACATTCACATATAAGAGAAAACATGCAACCTTTATCTTTTAGAGTCTGAGTTACCTCACTCCTGATGAAAGAAATCCCAGCATGAAGGGGTCAGGTGGCCACAAAGTCCTACTTCTAGCTGAGGAGCTATTGGCAATTGATGGATGATAGGGAGAGAGTCAATTTTCTATGAGCATGTGACCCCCTAGTAGTTCAACTACATTCCAGGGGGATGGCCCCACATACCAGAGTATTTGGGGAGCAAAAATTGTATTCAATAGACTTTTTAGAAAAAGAGAAGACACAAAGTTGGGTGGGTAGCAAAGTGGGGGTCGATCTGTGAGGACTTGGGGGAAGACAGGTGAATATGATCAAAATATATTGTAAATTATTCAAAGAATAAAGATAATATTTTTAAAAAGAATCTGTAGATACAAATGTTCCCAGATTTTAGTAATAGTTTTCCAAAACTGACTATATATTTTGACCTGCTTTGTTGACATTTGATGAATTTCATATTTCTCTTTACCCTTGTGTAGAAAAAAACAAGGAAAGAACTGAATCTAGATTATCTATTACTCAACTGATGATCTTTAAAAATTGGCAATGTACCATATTAACTTTTAGAGGATCTGAGGGAGGAAAATCAATGACATATTAAAAGTAAAACTATTTCATTTCCATTATATTTTGAAATTCTTTATTAAAACTAGTTAATCCATTTCCTAGAAAGTTGTGGCAGGTACTGGGTGGATGTACGATGTCAAGTCACAGGGTATGTCTTATTAAAAACATCATTGTAAGAAAATTCAAAGGAGCCTTACAATATAGACACTAAAATGATAATGATTATTGACTTATTTTCTAGCTAATACTTACATCAAAACCACTATTGGATGGCCAAAGTCCTAGATGCGGGAATTTATGCTACGTACACTTAAAGGGGTTAATAAACAGAGCTCTTTTCTTAAGTCTCTCACAACCAGTGTGAGTGTTTTAATGCACCCAAATAATAAGGGATATAGCTGAAATATCACCACACAAAATCCTATTGTGCCAAGAGAAAAATAATTATAATGGCAAATTTTCGTTGGTATTCATTATGAAATACAGGCACTTCTAACAGAACCTGTAATTACAACTAAGTAAAATGTGGTATAAGTGAAAAGTTGTTTCTACACTGCTAGACTATTGTGCAATTATTTTTTTCCCTTTATGTGTTGCTTCAGTTATTTTTTGTGTGTTCTAACTGAGCCTATCTTAATGATCTGCAATGTGTAAACAGTATTGTTTTTGCAACAATAAAAACATAACCTTGAACTAAATTCTATTGTATTTTAGAAGGATACTCTACATGGTCAATGAAATTTGAAATATATGTAAGTGATTATTACAAGTTAAAATATTAACTTATCATTTCTCTCCATATTGAAATTATCAAAATGTGATGCTTTACTCTAGGTAAGCAAACAACTTACTTGAGCTTTTTAATAGAACTTTGTATCCCTGCTTTTTCACACTTCTAGTTCAAGCCAAGTACAACTTGAGTCTGAGCACATTTTTGAAAATCCTAGCTGAAGATTATATGGGATCACAAATCAGCTCAGAAGTGCTACATGTTAAACTTTCATCATCTGAAACTATTTTGAAGCCTGATTCCAAATTTGAGATAGTAGCTCACAATCCATTAATAAATGTTTCACTTACTTCTCATCCTCTTTCCTTACCAAAACTATCATCTCTCTTTAGTAGATCCTATTTCATTGTACACATGTATAAAATTCTCAAATAATGAATACACACGCACACAAACATAGACACACAGACACACAGACACGGACACACACACACACACACACACACACCCCTCAGAGGTCATACAGCATCCTACTTGTAACTGAAGGAAAAGGAGAGAAGAGATACCTCCACCGTTGGTGTAGGTCAGATATGGGAATCGCCACACATTTCCCAATCCCACTGCATATCCAACCATAGAAAGAAGATAATCTGACTTTTTGGACCAGTTACCACGGTCCTGATTTTCATCATTTTCACCAACATGGAAATTCTCCGATGAAGCTGTTACTTTCTGAAGGAGAAAAAAAAAATCAACATCTTTGTTTTCTGTTACAAAATTCCATTTAAGCATAATTTCACAAGTTCATAGAGTCACAGAAATTGAGAGTGAGAAACCCACAGGGAATTGTTATCAAAACTAGGGAGTCATCTGTAGCTACTTTTAGTTAACATTTACTTCTCCAAATAAAAGGAGTCTGTCAGTAGACATTTGTACTACTCCTTCAGCTGAGATCGCCCAAGTTTAGTAAAAAGGTTAAAGGTCACACCAACAAGAAGGGTAAACAAAAATGAGCAAATCAAGTTTCAAATACAAGTCTTAAGGATAACTTAGGAAAAGTTAACACTCTTGAGATTTTAGCTGATCTTCAAGAAGGATCAAATGTAGCTTCTAATGAAATAAAAATCAATTCGTTAAGTATTGACTGCTTTGGATAACTGGAAGTTTAAAGAAATTCAACCTCTCCACCTGTCTTGGACCATGAAATCAGTGTTTTCTTAAAATCACAGGATAAGATGAAGAGACAAATTTTCCTGTCCCACCAGGTAGAGCAGGTCTCAATCCACTCAGGGAGGGGCTCTCTCCCAACCTGTTAGCTGCTTTAGTAAGGAATGCTCCTCTGGTCAGATAAGGACAGCACACTTTTGCATTTCCCTCCAGCATAGGAGCATAGTGTAGGGAAAGAAAATGAACAAGGTTTTGTGGGTGTTTCCAAGGCACAGGCTGAGGTGCTCCTCAGCATAAAGTTGTTGTTTTTTGGGTTTTTTTTTTTTTTTTTTGGTTGTTTTTTACTTCTTTGTGGGAACATATCAGGCATACTTGAAAATAGTCGAAGAGGGAAAAATATGCAAAATAAGGAGCAGACACAGAAAGCAAAAATTGAGACTATACCTTCCTTGTTTTCCCCTCCCCAGGGCCCTCTGCACCTCTAGCAGCTTCCAGACCCCTACCTCCTTCCCTCTGCACTTGAAGAAGCTCGGCCACTTCAATCTGTCCATGGTTCACTCACTGCCTTGGCTTGCTCCGCCTTGTCTCTTCTCACAGTCTGGCTGAGCTTGACTGGTGGCAGGTGCACACTCCCCCGTTCCTACCTGCCAAAGTGAGCCACCTTGCCCAGGGGTGGGACCATTTATGGAGGGAAGCTCTCTCCTCCCCCTTCCTGACGCCCAGTCTTTTCAATTACCGGAAGGGACCAAAGTGAGACTCTGGTTTTTCCCCAGGTAATCCTGCATGTAGCAATTCCCTGCCCCAGCCCCAGGAAAGGGCTTGGCTGTGAGCAAGCCAGCGACCTGCGCAGCTAGTGCCAAAGAAGACTGACAACTTTTGACTCACAGCTGTGCAGTGTGCCCTAGCTATCTCGCCTCCTTTCCTGGATTCCTGGCTTCCTCCTAAACTTGCTCCTCAGTCTGGTCACTGTCCTGGGGCCAAATGCTGATCTCCCCAGTGCTGGAGATGGGAAGGGCACAATCCGTGGGGCTCCTTTTATTCGCTATGATTTCTGTGAACAGACCAGACAACCCTGAGCCCTCGGATTTCCCAGCTTTGCCCCTCGGTGGAAACCACTTCATTCCCTGGGGAAAACATTGCTTGCGGGGGGGGGGGGCGAAATGGGCACCTTGAAATGCAGCCCATTAAGATAAGATTACCCAGCTACCTCTACTTGAAAAGAGTCACTTTGAATCTATGTCTCAAGCTCCTTTCTCAGCCTTCGGAACACTTCTGCCTTTTACAAGGATTGCTTTGTGTAGTATTTCAAAGAAGCCAAACACAAACAAATTATTGAGCAGGTTTATGGGAAATTCTAATCCTAACAAAAGACTTCACTCTGCAAGAAATGTGAGGCCTAGAAAGTAAACTGTACAGAAACAACCCAGCTTGACAGAGGAGGAAATAATTATCATAATTCTGATTACTGATGCAGCACCTCTTCATCAAAAATTCAAAGACTCTAAAAATCATTCTGTCCGTGTAAGAGATGGTGGCAGTGCTACTCAATACTACATATCCATGCAAACTGAGGAAACAGTAAAGAGCCAAATTTTGCAGCCATGTATAATTCCTTTGTTCCATAACAGCTGACAAGAATTTTCCATTTGCAGCAGAAATATGCCCTGGGGTGTTTAGGCAGGCAGAGGAAAGTCTGTGAGAGAAGCAGAGAGTTTGCAAGGAGAACATAGCAATAAATTTCATTCACCTTGGTGCTGAACATAACATGGGCTAATTTGGAATTTTACACACACATACTTATATCACATATACATACATATACAGGGAGGGAGAGCAAGCACATGACTGTCCACTCATTAGTATTCGACATTACTGGTATGACCTAAAGGCTATGATGAAGGAATTAATATTCTATTTCAAACATAGAAGAAAGGGTAGCCTAAAGGGCTTTATGGAGGAGCTGAAAAGCCAATTAGAGAGTATTCACCATACTGTCAAAAGTCCCATAGGAATGACGGTACCCACCGTGGGCAAATGTAAAGAACTGGTAACTAAGGGGCTGGAGAGGTGGCTCAGCAGTTAAGAGCACTGGTGCAATTGTAGAGGACCAGCACCCACATGGCCACTATCAACAGTCCGTAACTCCAGTTCCAGGAGATCTGACACCGTCTTCTGACCTAAATACATTCAGGCAATACACTCATACACATAAAATAAAAATAATAAAATATTTTTTAAAAAGAGTTGGTAATAGGGGCCTGGGGAGATGCCTCAGCAGTTAAGAGCACTAACTGCTCTTGCAGAGGACCTGGGCTCGATTCCCAGCACCCACATGGTGCCTACAAACCATCCTTAACTCCATCCAGTTCTAGGGGAATCTGAAGCCCTCTTCTGACCTCTGCGGCATTGCATGACACGGTGCACTCACATATATGCAGGCAATACACTCATACACGTAAAATAAAAATAATAAACAAAATATATATATTTTTTAAAGTTGGTAAATAGGGAAGTCAAAAAGGAGCAAGAATCCTAGGTACAGGCAAATTGTGGGAATCGCAGTGTAGGACTAAGTAGTCTGTGAATGCAACAGATACCAATTTTCTCTGCCTGTTACACAGTGGAAAGGTTTCAGTCACCATTGAGATTACTGTAGCTGAGGCACAAAATTTATGATAAAAGTACTTTAATGAATGTACGTTTTTGTGTTCTTTTGTGAGGAAACATTAGTCCCATTACATGGTGCTTCATGACCTGGCCGATGGCTACATATTTACATGATATGATCTCTTGCCACTCTTAAGTTTGTGTGTCCTATTCTGTACATAGTATTTCTCACCACATAAGTCTTTGTTCCTGCTATTTCTTCTTCTGGAAATTCCCACCCTCTTCCTTATTTGGCAACTACTACTCATCCTTTATATTGCCACTTAGTTGTCATCCTCTCTGGGTCTTTCCACAGTTTCCTCCTGTATTACCACAGACTAGATTTAGATGCCTCCCTTCTATATTCCTCTGTTTCCCTACATTCCTTTTAAGTTGCACAAAATTATTTGCTTACAGTTCTCCAGACTATGAGTCCTCTGAGCACAGGAAAACTGCCTTAACCTCCTTGTATTTGAAGCAACAAGACCCAGTGCAGTCCAGGGACTTAGTCAATGTGTATTAAGACATTTGTCTTAGCACTGCATGTAGTCACTCACACCTGTAATCCTAGCACTTAAGAGATTGAAGCAGAAGAAACGGCAGTTCAAGGTCATCCTTGGCTACACAATAAGTTCAAGAACGGCCTGGGCTACAGAACAGTCTGTTCCAAAATTAACAAACAAAAATTTGGCTCAACAGACCCTTTAATGACTTTGTTATCAAAGCAAATGAAAGGACAACTGGTCAAGAATTCACCTCCAAGAGAATTCCAAGAGTACATTTTCTCTTTTAGGGGGTCTGACTTACTAACTGACGAGTAAATCATACTTGTGAATTGTGTATCTGGAAAATAGAAAGAAGTATAATAGCTGGGCTGGTGAGATGGTTCCACCGGTAAAGGTGCTTGCCACAAAGAATGATGATCTCAGTTTAATCCCCAGGATTTATATGGTAGATGGAACGAGAGAACAGATTCTGGAAAGTCTGGCATGACACCCACACACACACACACACACACACACACACACACACACATGTGCACATGTACACACACAAATTAATAATAAATATAATTTTTCAACCTATAGAAGCTGAGTGAGCAAAAAAGAAATGTGACTATACAAACTCACAAGGATATGAATGTGTAAGGGATGATAAGAACAGTGTGCCAGTTATTGAAGTAACAAAAATAAGGCTGAAGAGAGAAAGTGTGGCTGGTCATATGCTTTGCAATGAAGGCCTAAGCTATGGTCTCATAGGCAATAATAAAGTGATAGTTTACCTGGGAATGACACATGACAAGCTCTGCTTTAGTTGTGCAAAAATATCCCAAAATTAAAAGTAATGAACCCTAGTCATTGAGCTGTGCAATTCTTAACTTTAAACTATGGGCCATCTCTTCCTTGGCACATATATATCACAAGCCAGAATATTATTAACTGAAAAAAAGCTATTGTCACCGGGCATTGTGACATATGCCTGTAATCCCAATACTCTGGAGGCAGAGGCAGGCAGATCTCTATTGTTCTATTAGTTATAGACCTACAGTGGAACTTTTGGATCACAGATTATAAATTCAGAATTAGGAAATGCTGCTAAACAGTTTTCTAATTTATTTTCCCACAAGCACTATCAAGTAGAATTTTAAAGGCCCCCATGGAATGAGATGGACTGTGAAAAAAAAACAGTGGATATGGAAGAAAAGAGGTGATAATAAAAGAGAAGAAGGTTATTTACTGAATGAGTTAAGTGCCCAACTTGAATGTCAGAAACTAAGGACAACAACATCCTAGAATAAACTTTTGGCATCCCTGATGCACAAGGTTTCATCAGTGTTAATGATAACATGGGATGAGTAAGCATCATTTGATCTTCCATATGAAATAGAATATAAAACATGAATGAAATTTTACTTAATCTCTTCTTCAGTAAGAATACACTTCTATGTTTGCACTCTTTAAAGACGACATGGATGCCTCCTTCCCATGTGCTTCTCAGATTGTCAATTTACAGAAGTCACCTGTAAGAGGACTGCATTCAGCTGAAGCATATGAGGACAATCAGTGCTGGGTATTCAAGGAAAAAGCTAGATTTCTGCAGCTGTAACTTAGATGTAAATACAAACACAGTTTTCTCTAAAGTACTACAAACATCCAAAGTTCGGCTTCACTAACCATCAGACTTGACGCACCTTTTTTCCAAATCTCTTTAACCAAATCAGATCTTTAATATGACATATTTGAATTAACTGGGCAATGGAGCTGATGCGAATTTTTGAGTATTTCTTAGTAAGTAAATCAACAAGTTTCCCTCCAGATCAGAAAAAGTCCTTACTTCAGCACAGCAATATCATCAGTTCCTTCTATTACACTATAAGTCACCACTATACTCACTCTTTAAATTGTTAGTACCCATGGAAAAAATTTTTTACCTTGACCTAGTTACTTAATACTATTGTAATGAGGCATTAAGGGCGGGAAATACTTAGTTTGCGCCCATGATGCACTGGTATTTCTCCTTTTAAATGCATTGCTGTAAGGTATACTTGTTTCTGGTTTGCATATACCATAGTAAAGTTTATCAGAAGTATGTGTTGGAGCCTTTAAATTCCATGCCTTTTAAAAAGTCAGGTGCTGGACTTTTGGCTTTCTGGAGAAGAAAATCATTCATTTCAAAATATGATCCAGGGAGCAATTGATCTTATGTTCTACTTTTTAAAAAAGCATTAAAATTTCACTATGGAATATATTTGCAATCTGCCTACTAGAGTCCTCTGTGAGATAAAATTAATCAATGAGTAGGAGTACTATCACTGCACTCATGTACAGTCACTTTCAATATCTTTTTTCTGATAAAGGTTAAATTGTATCACAAGGTATTCTAAAGAACTGGATAAGAAAGTGATACAAAGAAAACAATCATGTAGAAGAATTAAGTATAGCTTTGTTTCCTCCCTTTATTGAAATTCTGTAATATGAAAGTGGCATGCTGTAGACTGTGAATATGTGAGTAATATAATGTGATATTTTTTCCTCATTTCCCATGTCCAGTAATGTTCAAGCTTCTTTTGCTAAAATTGACATCTGGAAGGCTATCTGAGACTTCCTTCATTAATGCACTATCTTTACTTGCTAATGTAATGACAGCTTA